TGCCCCCATAGCAGAGGTGCCCCAGCCCTCGGGGCATCTTCGTGGCCTCCTCTGGACTCGCTCCAACCAGTCTATATCCTTCTGATGTTCTGATATCTATAATATCTAATCGTATCTATATATATATAAATAACTATTTAATTTTCAGTGGTTCAGATTTTCTTTTGGCCAACAGCGTTGTTTGAAGCGGTCAGAACTCTAGGTAAAAAGAACCTATTCCTATTTCTCTGCTTTTCTGGAGCATCGCTTCAAGGGTCATTTCAGTTTTAGAAGGATACAAGAACAGAGAGAAAGCAGCTTGGCTCGGTTGTTTATTAGCTTCACCAGGCGTCGCCTTGCCAAAACGTATTTTTGGGAAGTAGAGATTTTGTCAACCCCAGCTGGCATAACTGACTGACACAGCTGTGATAAGGAGAAGAAAAACAAGAAGATTGTAGCAAATCACAGAACGCCAAAAGAAATAGGCGAATAAAATTACTTATCATTATCTAGAACTTCCTTGCCAGCTACTATTTCTTCAAAACTGTGCTCTCTATTGTGAATTTGCATAACCTTGCTGACCAAAAAAAAGAGAAATTAAACGTATCCCCAGGCAACTCTAATGAAAATCACAACTTTTACAAAGTCACGCCCAATGTCTTCCCCAAAGTTTAGGTCACTCATTCCATGGACCCCTTCCATAAGCAGTGGAAAGGAATATGCACAAGAACTGAAACTATTTACTTAGCTGAGATGCTCTGGAGTCTCTGTTACAGCTGTGTCTAAGTTACACGCAATATAGACTGCAGAGGCAGAACAACTATTACCTCTTTTATTTCGTCCGGTGGGAGTTGCTCCACATTTTGTAGTTTGTTGACACTCTGACGATGGCTGTCATAGTAACTGAAGAAGTCACCAGTGCTCTGTTTCAGCAGGTAGACGATAATGCCCAAGCCAGGCAAGTGCCAGTATGGGACTACTGGTGTTTGTGAATCTAGAAGAGATGAGGAACAAATTACAACAGATTTTTAAAAAGAACAAGAAATCAGTAAGGTATTGCTCTCTGTCAATAATGCAGTGAAGGACACAAAAGCACTGGCAAGTTTTATACTTATGTGGCAGAAGTAATACAGACGAAAGTCTGGGGAAGAAGTTCTGTGGCTGCGGTATGAGGCAGCAGTCAGCACAGCACAGTACTGAGCGTAACACGTGAACTGTAACTAGACCAGCACTCTTGCTATTTAAATACCACTGAGCTGCGTAACAGCACTCTCTAAACTCTCGCCATGTCAGCATCAAAACGCATCTCACATGTTACAAATGCGGTCCTGGTTCCACATAATGTAATCCAGCCCAGATGCTGAAAAAAACCCTCGCCTTCCCTTCCTTGTGCTGCACTTACATACATGTATTTTCCTGCTGTATGTGTTTCCGAGGCTGCCATGGGAAGAGAATTAAACAGGATGTTTTGGTCACATTTGTTTTAACTTGGATTAGTTTCCCGATTCTCCTTTGTGCAAGGCTGTACAAGCACATGTTCTGGAATTAGGAAATGGGCAGCGTGAAACCTCAGCCCCTGGTTCATCGTTTCCTAGTAGCCCCAACGTCACACCATTCAGCCTCATAAAGCAGCAGGAAGCCAAAAACCTCACCCTGACGAGGCCCATCTCGGTTGGTTGATTCTGACAGGCTGGGAGTAAACAGACAAACAGAGTGCTGAAAACTGGGGGCGCTTTGCAACATCACTGACTCACAGTATTCCATCACGTTTGCACAGATCTGTCAAGAAAAATGACAGGATGTCCGTTACAATATCTACAGGCTTTGGAGCATTACATTTTAAACAGATAAATGTCAACAAACAACATGTTTTGCTCCCTCTCTTCTTACCAGAACGTGGTGATTCTCTTTTCTGAGCAGTTACAGCCTCTCCTCTATTTCAAGCCTCGGACTTGCAACCTTGCCTCTTTGCTAAACTGGCTAGTTAAAATTTCTGGTCAATTTTAAGTCCCCTTTGGCTGGGATTTAGTGTTAGGCATTGCCCTCTACACCCAGCCTTCATTTTGAAAATTTCTGATCAGTTTAAGGCTTTGAAGTTCACAGAGTTTGTACCCAAAACAATAATAGTTGCTAATGCAAATTTAAGTAACCAAACGTTCAAGGTTTACTTCAAACAGAAATAAAATGTGGGATCCTACACCGAACTAAACCCAGCACAGAGCATTGCCACTACCGTATGACAGCATGACAACCAAACAAATCCGCACAGCAGGTAAAAATGTCACAATTTGAAGGTTTTAGCAGCTTCTTGTGTCCTTACCTGCTGCATGGCCAACTCAGTTTCATCCCTCTTGTTGACTCTGTCTCCCTCCGCGCTGTCATCTTGCAGTTTAAACTGACGGAGTCTGTCTGAACCACCAAACCGACATAGAAGTCCTAAGCACTGGCGCTGCCATAAGGCATGAAGGTTTTAATTAGTATCTCAACAAATGAAGCCCATGATTCTTTGCACTTAAGTGATACATATCCCTTAAAACACAACACCAAGAGAGCAACGCAGGTAGTACTTAGTGCTTGGTAAACGGAATTTACACTTTAAAAACATGTTTTAACTCACCTTTAATTAATTAAAAAACATTAATGGCAGCTTAAAACAGTCCTTTGAGAAATGAATGCAATTCAGAAGTGCACAACTTCGTCTTATGTCTCTTTCCGACTATTACACTGACCAGCATCAATGACAGTTTAGGTTTACCCATTCGCACTTAAAACCCCTTTACCTATATAGAAAAACTAACAAAACCCAGATCTGAAGATAATAAACTCCATGAAAGTAGAGTGCAAAAAGCCAATTCAATAATTTCATAAAAAGAAGAAACAATCAATTAATTTGGTTTTAGTTTACATGTGGCTGTTAAGATCACCAAAGTGCCTCAGACTGTAAACCAGTTTTGTGTGGAATGGCAAAAGAAGATATTAAAGATTTTTAGGTCATTGCTTTCTGGGTAGAGTAAAACCCTTACATACTTTAATTACTTGATCAAAATAACAGGACAGACTAGAGAGAAAAGTTACAACAGATGACTGATTCGCACCGTTTTGCTCAGAACAGCCCCGTTTCCAAATGAACTAAATGAAGTTCCTTATAACAAACAACCAAAACAAATCTTCCTGCTCTCACATGGGAATTTCTTGCTGACATGATGCAGCAGAACACGGAGTCCCCCAGCATTACAGCAGTCATTTACAGCTTGCTACTTTGCTTCCAGCTGTTCAGCCAAATAGTTACTGCCCAAGTGTCCAGAGAACACATCCTTCTCTTCCAACCAGACCTTTTCCAGAGCGCAGCCCTTTCTAGAGAGGTTTCAATGAAACGTTTCTCTACAAAAGCCCTGGCTCACGTGAACCAGAGAGCTTCAAACGCACTGCTGGATGTGGAGCTGCAAAGAGGTCTGCAACGAGAGCTTTTGAGCATGATTTGCTCTACCTTGGCTTTCCTTCTGGTTTCTAAGTCAGGGATTTTTTTAAAAGGGGAGGAAAGAAATAAGCACTAGCATGTTTGATAGTCCAAATTATTGAGCTGGAAGCACACCTGTTGCAAAAGTGCTAAGACAGTATTTCTGCATTACTTCACGTGCTGGGGTGTTGACCCCAAATTCTTCTTCTTCTCTACATAAGGTGAATCCTAAGCCAAGGAGGGAAACAAAGTCCCCGATGCAACTCTGAGGTTGCCAAACATTATCTTTTCTACTTGGGAAGAGGGAGGGGGACACCCAGAAAACCAAACCACCAAAACCACACACCACACAAACACCACACTCACACACAAACCACACCTACCCCCCCAGAAAAAACCCCAAACCACCACACATTCTTCTGCATGTGGACAGCATCCCTTTTACAGCTGCTACTACTCTGAGTGCAAAACCAGGAAGAAACTCATCCACATACACAGTTCTAAAAGGACAAGTGTTAAATACACAACTGTGTTACCTGAAATCGGCCTATGTGTCCTTGCAGCTCCACCTGCGTCCCTTCATTAACGTCGACATCCAGCTCACTCAGCACTCCTGGTAAAAGATACAGCCACCAAATTAACTCTGGTGTTTCTTTTACCAAAGGAAAACTGGTTTCTGCTGTATATCCCAAGCACAAGTGCAGGCTGGG